CGAAACATTGACAGCCATTATGATATATTTTTCTCTTTTCACTCGCCTTTCCAAAGTACCGTTCGCGTGCTATAACGGCGGTGTTGGCTGCCAAGTTGCCTTTTTTTCTTCTTCTTCTTCGTTGCACCGAGGTGCGATTCGGTCCTCCGCGCGCACTGCCGCACCGCCGTGGGCATCTCGGCGCGCAGCGATCGGAGAGACGGGCGGCTCCACGGACGGAGCCGGTTTCGTCCGCGGGGTTACGCAGTCAACGTACGCGGGGGGGGGGGGGGGTGGGGGGGCGTGAACAAAAAATCGCGGCCCGGGGCCTCAGCGGCGCCAAAGTTTTAAGGATTTTGGCCAGGTCGGTCAGCTCGTCGGCTCCTCTCGAGTGACAGTTTACGGCTCCCTCACCACCCCGCCACGTGCGAGTCAAGGTCACGAGTGGGCAGCCACTGTGCGTGCTCTCGCGTCGTGGGCAAAATTGGGTCGCCAGCGCCCGGTTGGGACGGAGGAGACGGCGGTGGGGTTCGTAACACAACACCCCGCTAGTTAAGCGAGGCGCCGTTGGCTCGCCCCGCCACTGCCTTTGCGAGCGGAGCCAGATTTTATATGGGGGGGGGGGGTGTGGATGGAAGCTTGGCGTCGTGACTAAATTAAGGTAGAAATAAACAGAAGTAAGTTTAATATATATTAAAGAATAAATAAAACAGGGAAGCTACTGTGACTCGGTTTCGCTGTGCTCTCAGTCCACAGGGGGTGGGGACTTGTGGAAAGTTGGCCCCGCAATAAATTTCGCCATTAACGAGAGACTGCCTTTATTACAGCAGCCCCATAAACCTGTCACTAAATCAAGCCCAGTCCCTGCTGCCCCATCTACTCGTCTGCTGCTGCTGCTCTCTCTCTCTCTATCCCTCTCTGTCTCTCCACTCCAAGCTCCTGGAGGTTCTTTATTCTCCACATCCCTTTCCATGAGCCAATGGTCAATGTCAGCCGTCCACTCCTGGCTTTTGTTTACACGAAGTGAGTAATGCTTCCTACAACCAGTTGGATTCATTATTACGCTTTTGCAGTCTCGTCACATAAGACTGCACATTCATTTTGTGTTGTTGCTATGACAGTCCTGAAAATTAAACGAACTTGCTCAGAGCGGTGGCGCAGTGGTTAGCGCGCTGCGCTGTGAACACGGTGCCCTAAAGATTGATTCACGGCAGCGGCGAACGTCGGTGGCGAGTGACGTCTTAATCTTGGCTCACGTCAACCACGCACCCATCCCCTCCTCGCCGTTTCAACCAACACGCGCTGATCAGTGGCATGAAGAATGGTCAAACAGACCTGGCACAACTGACGCCGCGGGTGCGTGACGATGCCTTCATCCAGCAGCGGATAGGGCAAAAAAGGCAATGAAGTTATTAATGACACTGCATTATGGTACACGTCCAGCATAGGAGGAAAAAAAAACACAACAGCAGCAGCTGATTTATTTGTTGAGGTCCGAGTGCAGCTAATTAAACGCGTTCATGTGCAACCGCAGATTAATTACAGCATACGAAGTTTAATGTAAACATTACGAGGCGTGTGAGTGCGTTGCTCTCACGGGCCTGGTGATAGTCACGATGATGTGAACACCCCGGAGCCTTACACGGCTTATAACGTCTTCACCATAATGCAGACGAGCCCCCACTGGGAGAAAGTAACAAAAAAACCCTCTTCAGTTTAAGTCGGAATAACGAACTCTGGAAGTACAACGTTGATTTTTTTTTCCTCCCTTCAAAATAGCGAGGCAATTAAAATAGCGCAGATGTCGAATTTCTCGGTAAGTTTCGTGATTAATGTGCTGTATCTGCAGCAGCTAAAAATGATGGCAATTTTTCAATGTGTGGAAGCACAGCTAGCGTCCACCTTACATGATTATTATTATTATCGCCAGCAGTGATATCTCTTTGCACCGTGCACGAGTATGCGAACGTGTCATTGTATCGCACAAATGTTCCAAACTGAAAAATAAACGGTTCTGTGAACTTTACACGACGTTCGTGTTCCTATAATAATTCGTGCGATCCAAACAGTCGCTGCAACAACAAAAAAAACGCACGCGGCGAGGTTGAAGTGCCGTGTGTCGTGGCTGCGATGCTTGGCGCGCGCCATGCAGCGGTATTGGATTTTTGTGTTTTATTTGTTCAGCGTTCGAGCCATAACCGGGGGGCACTCTCCTCCCCTCCAGTCGGTACAATGGTCGCACACCAGTGTGGCCGAGTAATGCCCCTCATTAAGCTGTAAAATACTTATTGTCCGCAAATGCTCAGACTAAGTGGACTAAGTGACAGCGGAGGCCAAAACACTCTCTCCTGTATCGCCCTCTCTCCCGTGGCCGCTTTTGTACCTTTCCCCAATTCGTCTCTTTAGATTCGTTCATTTTTTCCCGCTCTCTTTCTCCCTCTCCTGGTTCCCAACTTCCTAAATCATTCATGTACCCACGTCTCCCCCCCCCCCCCACTCCGTCCGTCTCTGCAGCCCTTGTCTCTCTCTTATTCGCCTCCCCCCTCCACCTTTCTCTTTCAGCCTCTCCACCTCACCCCTTGCCCCTCGCTTCCCCCCACCCCCCTCTCTCACTCTCTCTCCGAAGCGCCCACCATTACCCCATTCAGCGCGCACAAGGGAGGATTAACAAAAAAATCCGTGTGAGAAAAAAAACGATTGACGATTTAGAGACCGAGCCGAGCGCGTGAAAAAGCCGGGCAGAGCGAGATATTCCTAAAGGAACTTCGGCATTCATCGTCGATGTCTTTAGTTTGGGGGAAGATTAAACCTCCAAGCGGAGCGACGGCCTCCTCCAATCGCTGATGGTATTGCACGCGGGGGATGAAGAGGCAGCCTCAACGCTTATGACAAAAGAGAATAGACGCGGATAGGTTCGCAGACGTCTGCGTAGAAGACCGCGGGCATTATTAGCTGCGCAAAAAAAAAACCCCAACACACTCCGAGCGCCGACAGTTATTATTGGACAATTTAAATGAAACTTTAATGACGTTGATGCTGGCGGGGGTGATATATAATGTCATCGTGGGACAAAGAGGAACTGTTCGCGTGTTTGAAAGTGCGCAGAGTAATGAGCACTACCGCGATCATTGCTCACACATCAATCGAGGAATTGGCGACTGGGGAATCACATCTGAGGAATCACATCTCTCCGAGCGAGGAACGGATGACGCGATTGATTTTTGCCACTGAGCCCCGCAACGCTGGCTGCTAGGCAAGCCCCAGTGGTTCAGAATCAGAGTAATTTTTTTTTACAACACTGGAGGCATCCGATGAGCTATGAAGCTCTTTTTTTACAGATGTCCAGTCGGTTACTCGTCGAGCGTGGAAGGAGTTGTCTGGCATCCTACGAGCGCGGGATGCGAGTGACACGGAGCGGGCACCAGTCAAGTTTCAAGATTATTTCGTAGAGAAAAAAAGAAAACCAGGATACGCTGTTCATTCGTCTCGTTTGCGAGAGTGACCCCCGGGCACCAGTCTGCCTGCAAGTTGAGGGCGATGATTTTACACGTATCATCCAAATTGAGTAATTTGCGGGTCATTTTTTAATTTGCCAAAGCATCGAAAACCCTGACGCCTGCTCACAATTACTTGACCTACTCTTGCCGATGACGTAATGGGGGTCTTTAACGCCCCCACCCCAGCCCCCCGTGAAGCTGACGGTGCGTATAACCGTGCTAGCTATTGCTGCTGCAATAATAATGGCAATGAACCAGGGCGACCACATGAGTCGAACCGTGACCTTAATTCGACAACAAGTTTCGGCTGGACTGTGCGCACTTGCATCTAAAACACACACAGCGCGTAGGCCTCGCTGAGTGTTCCCTACAACACCCCCACCCCCACCACGTTGGCTGCAGGTAGAGCCGATCGTAGATTGGGCAGAGGAAATGACTCCGAGCGAACTCTTTTCAAGAGGCGCCCGCTCACACTTGATTATCCGGTGATGATTCACCCACGACGTCGCTCGGTAGCCCAGCCGATGGGGCCTGTCTCGTCACATGGGTGGGCACATTTTTTTGCGCGTGTGCAGGCGTAGCATGTGCGCGTGAAAATACGGGGGGGGGGGGGGGGGCTAGCCATTTATGAGCACCCCACTAAAATAATAGGGAGAAGGGCATTTTGTAGTCTTATCGCAAAGGCTCGATGTCTCTCCCACCAATCGTAATCCACAAATTACGCTATCTGAAACACCCTTCTGGTACACGTTCAGCATGGCTGGTGCGACCTGCTTACGACGTTCAGTGATGCGCAAACTGAGGTCATTAACATTAACAGGGTAATTAACAAAAATCAATGGGGTGTCTATAAATGGATCATATCGTATCGTGATTTTTTTTTTTTAAACCCTCTTTCTTTTACGGTACTCTGATTAGCTTAATGTACACGTAATATAACATACGACATTACAGTATTGCCACGCACATCAAATATAATATTTAAAAAAAAATACCCTATAAAGCAAAACAAATGCGGGCGGGGGGAGGGGGGGACAAAAACAATAATTACATAGGATGATTTGCAACACATTTTTGTTGTTATTGAAATGCAGTCGGATCACGGTTCAACAAAAAAAATATAAAAGCGAGAGAAGGACAGCCGAGGGGTACACGCGACTGTTGCACAGTGGTCGGACGCTCGGCGAGGGCAGGCACGGGGACAGAGAGATGCGCGGTTTGTCTAAGTATGGGGTGCTGCTTTTAATTACGGTTTGTTGTAACAAAACGCCCCACTGCATCGCCCACAGCCAGAAGTCATCAGTCATTCATTACCACAACACAAAAAAAAACCCACAACTGGGGAAGGGCCCCATTGAATCCGCGCGGGCCGCAATTGGCCCGACTCGAGGTGATGTCGACAGTGGGCCGTGATTCGAGTTCGAGGCAGCAGCCAACCAGAGGGAATCGTGGCAATTGCGGGGGCGGGGATGGAGGTGGGTGTAAGCATGGGGGGGGGGGGGGGGAGGATTTTAGGCACGCCAAGTGATGGGTCCCTGCAGACTCTGCCGCGCACGCAGCGAGCGCACGCATCGGGCTTCGTCAACGGCGGCTCTCGCTCTCTCGCGCTCTCTGTCCGGCGGGTGGAGGAGGTTGTGGTGGTTGGTGGACGGGAGTTTCGCTTTTTTTCGTTTTTGTGCAAGCCGTGAATGAGCGGGGCCGCTGGAGAAGTTCAAGAGCGTCAAGCCGGATCAGAATCTGCCGGACGCAATTTTAGTTTTTTTTTGCTTTTTGCTCGATCCGACTTCGACAGCGGGAACAGTTTTTGCGGGATCTGCAGCAAAAAAACGGAAAACCGGTGACATTTCGAAAAGGCGAAAAAGTTCGGCAGCTCCTCCGTCATTCCACCGTTGAAAAGTGAGCAGAAAACGCATCTCATCGTCGAGGATCTTGCGGGGGAAGTTGAGCAGTTCTGGTAACGAACCGTCGCAGAGGACACGGGACAACTTTGGTTGTCGGGTACTTATCGGTGCATCGTATACACACACACACATAGGCAAACATTCACTTGCTCGCGCACGCACGTACACGTGTGTCCATTGTAGAGCACGGGAAGAACCCTTGAAGCCAGGGGCGCACCGACCTCAGAGGTTAAGCCCTGCTGGCCACCCGCTAGCTTCCCCCACCCACCTCTCCTCGTGGCTGAAAAGGCTGCTGCGAATTCCTCGCCCGAGCCAGCAAACACCCTGCGATTAACTGACCTTTTGTCTGGCTTCGAAGAGAGAAGTCCTGATTGGAGAAACCTGCCCTCGGGGTTAAGGACTGGACAATTCAAGACCTCTAATCTCCGGCTCGCCATCTCCTCCAACGCAGGGATTATTTGAGCCGGGGGGTCACCTGGGCTTTCTCTTCTGCTGCGGCTGCAAAGTTGCACTCCTCTGGGTTCTTCTGCGAGCAGTCAAGAAACTTCCAGGTAACAACACCACTGGAGCGAGTTTTTTTCCTCCAGTGTTTTTTTTCTTCTTCTTCTCTGTGAGCTGTGCGCGACGGCGTAAATTTTTTTACTTTTAAACATGCCATAACATCGCGTGATTGCAGTTACAAACGTACGTTACGTTGACGTCCGAAAAACAAAAATAGTTTGATGGAAATTTATGAGCTGGGTGACCCCATCGCTATACTTTTACAAGTATGTTGGAATATTTTTCTTTTTGGTGGGAAATGAGTGAAAGATTTTAAGTAGTTTATTTACGACGTTTTTGTGTGTGTGTGTGTGCAAGTGGATGAAAGGCCAGGAGTTTTGATTTGTATTAAATAAAATGCGTCTTCTTCTGCCAGAGAAGTGTCAAATTTTTACAGACACAATCTTGCGAATTTGTCTGAAATCTGCCCAAAAGTGGCTGTTGTTCTTTGTCAGAAAAAGAGGGCACCATACCTAAATGGATTACTGTTTTTATTTTTGTAAAAGCTTTTAAACATATAACTACAAATTGAGTTCCCCCCGCCCACCCCTCATTGTATTTTTCTGTGGTTCAACGTTGACGTCAACTGCAGAGGCACAAGGTCGCAATAAGGACGGAATCCGTGTGGCTGCTGACTGGCCAGCCAAAAAAAAAACGAAAATTGGGCGTCGGTTTTAATTGGTTTTGGGAAGGGTGGGATTTCTGCACGAGTGAGCGGGGCTGTTTGTGTGGAGGTAATGAGGCGGTGTGGCTGCGCCGGGGCTGCTGCTGGTGTCCCGTCAGAGCTGGGCGCGTTCTCTTTTCTCCGTCTCGTCTTGACTCCACTCTCTCTCTCGCTCCCCCCGCTCTCCGTTTCGCGTCGCACAAACCGTCGGTGTAATGGACAGAGGTTACGCTAATGCATCGCGAGCTCAGGTATGTCGACGTATGGTCGGGATAACCCTGTAAGTGCTTATTAGGTGGCAGGAAATGATGGGTGTCAAATTTTAAGCTGAGAAATGGCCCATTTGGGTTAAGTAAGGTGTTTGTGTCAAAGCACCGCCTCAGGATCTCGTAACGCAGAAGAAAACATTACTTTGTCGCTCACAATAAATAGCGGTGAATAAATCATTCAATAGAGCCTCGCTGGAATGACGTAAGCTAGCACAAGAATATGTATTCGATGTCAAGAAAACCCAAGGGGATGATGCACCTGAAGGGATCGAGCCAGGAGAAGGGGGCACCCACAGTTAAACTATTTTGGACGCTCGACGGATTCTTTCTCTGCCTTTGTGAGACGCAGAGCTACGTGCGTGCATGAATCATGTTATCTGCTGGCTTGTGCGAGAATGTGTTATGCGAGATTCTCGGACGATTAGGCAGAGGCGAAATGTGTGCACAAAGCCAGAAGAGTAGATTATCTTTGACTTCAAATTTAAGAAATTCGGTGATGCCCAACTGCAGCGTTTTCTCTCTCTGGCTCTCATCTGTACGTACTATGCAAATTGATTATTTCAAACATGATTCCACATAAATGTAAACATAAATTGAGACCTAACAATACGTAAAAAAAAAATCCGATTTATTTTTTTCTATGAATATGTAGATTTTTTTAAAAAAATATAACGTTAAGCCAGGCTTAAAAAGCATATATAGAGATTACATATCTGAATGTTTGGTAATCCACGAGTAGGAGGACTTTAATATGAATTCCAGATACAAATATATAAAACCATGAGAATACAAACTTCAAAATTTGAGGGTAATACACTTGTACGTGTGTTTGGCGTGTGGCAGGAATTCAGCCAAAAACGCATCTACTTCAGCCTTACCTCTCCTCCGTCTGGATTGTAACTGGATCAATTTGCTTTGGGAACAGTGCTTGTGTATAGGGGGGGCACAATTGTTTTTGGGCTCGTTTGGATGAGGCTAATTTAGAGGAGGGGGAGGGGGTGGGTTAATTTCCTTAAAAGAGCCGAGCTTAGCACGCATCCACGAGGTAGGTCACGTTGGCCCTACGCGGAGACACGGTCACCTGGGGGTCCTCACGTACGAGGCTTGGCCGCCGACCAAAATTGTGGCCTCTCTCGTGCACACATGCACATGGGCGGCACGTGAAATGAATGGATGGGGGGTGGGTAGCTGAGATCTGGCAGGAGACGACCATCTATCAGCCGAGCCGGGTGAAAGGCTGTCACTTGCCTACGCTGTACAGATGGTCGGTCAGGTTCCAGCATACCCCGTGCCCCTATTAACCCTTATTGTCACAGCTAGATATGGAGGACAGTGGTGGGGGCGGGGGGGGATTGCGGATGTGGAATATGGTGAGGAGGCGCGGAGACACCGGTGCAGCAGTGGATCGGGCAGAGAGACGGACATGGGAAAACGAGAAATACACAACATGACAAAGAGATATACGAGAGAGAGAGAGACGCGCACATGAACGCGCACACGTGAACATAAGAATAGAGAGATAGAGAGACAGACAAAGGAGAAGACACACACACAATAGACTCACGGACACGATGAAAGAGAGAGAGAGAGACACGCAAGGAGAGAGAGAGGCGCGTGCAGACATTCGGGGAGACAGACACACACACACGAGGGGAAAGAGAGACGTCTACAAAGACATGGGGAGAGACAGGCACACAAAGAGAGAGAGACACGGAGACGAAGAGAGAGCGAAACACACACACGAGGATAGAGAGACACACACACACATACACGGGGAGTCAGACACGAAGGCTCGCACAAGGAAAGCGAGACAAGACGCGAGGGGAGACAGAGACGGAGTATGACAGAGACGGAGAGTCTGCACCACTCCCACCCGTGACCCTTCGCTTCCCTCGAATCTCATTGTTGCCGCCCAGCGTGGCCAAGGCAGAGCTGCCATTGTCTTTCCAGAAGGCGGCTTTGCATCCCAAAGAGGGGCGCATGAGAAGGACCGGGCTTCGCCTTTGTGGCAGCGCCGATCACAAAGCGCGGCTTTGCGGTGGCATTCATCGGTGGTTGTCTCTCCGACAGTACAGCGCCAGCCCTTTGAAATGCTGAGCGGTGTGGGGGAGAGATCATGTATTTTTTCCCCCTGAAACGGGTTGAAAGTAAAAATAAATATATCGTGATTTCACGTTTCTTCTTCGTGTGAGTGCGACTTAAAGGGAAAACGAACGCGGTGGAGATTGTACAGAGGCATACTACATGAAGGTTTTTCGGGGGATTGAAGGCCACAAAATTTGAGCTGTTCTGCCCGGTTAGGGTTTGGCTCAAAGTGAATTTAAATGATGTGTCACTTAAAGTCCTGTCGTTTTTAAAGGCAACGAGGCCTTAGCAATTCTAATATTAATGAAGCACTTAAGGGCAGACTTTGTTTGTGTCTTAAGAGTTTGCAACAAAAGAACAAGCTACCGGGATTCGGCAAATTCTGCTAAGCGGACACCAAAGTGTGTGGATCCGAATTTAATATACAGTCTACCGTGTCGACAGATGTGGTTCGCAAGTCTTGCTCAGCGCATGGGTTTCGGGGACCACAGCGACGGCAGGTTTGGTGAGACAAATTTCTGCGAGGTCAGCAGAAAGGGGATGGCTGAGCAAACTTGGTCTGGTGGTGCCTCGATTCACCAGTGATGCCGTTAAAGCAAACCGAATCAAGTGTAAACGCGGAGAACGCACACGATGAGAACGCCCATCCGCGTAAACTCCGGCCATTCTCGCAGCGGCTTTTGGCTCGCCATCGAAGAAAGACGGTCACCGCATCGAGCGCTTTCAGATGCGCCTATGCGGCCGCCTGGAACGTTCTTCCTACCAAACATTAGGAAGCCACCGAAGCTTTACACTTTTAAATCTCGATTGAAAACTAATTTGTTTTAGAACAGCCTTTTGTGTTTAGTTTGTTGTCCTTCCCCCGCACCTCCGATTGGCACGGATGGCTACGTACGGTGCGAAAGAAATTCAACATACATACGTGCAACCGACGAGAAATTGACTAAATGCACTGCAGAGTGGAGCCCGAGATCAGGCAAACGTGGCAGAGGGGGAAGAGAGCGGCAGAACGCAGTGAGATTAAATCAAAAGATTTTGGAGGGCACGATTGGACAAGGGCACTGGAGACAATGAAGGAATGGAAGGATATAGAGGAGGCCCAGCGGTGGGAAGTTAAAACAAGCTGATGACATCAAAGACAACAAGGGTCAAGTCTCTGGTGCGCGTTTGAGGTCTCGATGTGAGCGCTTGCGCTGACTGACACCGGCTGGCCCGCGACAGCTCGTGCAGAGATGGGCGGAGAGAGAACGCTACGGGGCCCGTTGGCGATTGCAAGCTTAAACAACAAAAAAAAACTTCCAACGAATGTGGGGTTTTCAGCCAATTAAGCTTAGCGGCGAGCAATTAGGATTAGCGATGGTCAAAGATTTGTACGAAAAATGTTCCTCCACCGCAATCGAACGTAATTGCGCGGCGTATTGAGGCTCGTCGCAAGGGTATCGGTGTTTTGTTGTTGTTGTCAAATGAAACGAAAGCGTTAAACAACAAAAAATACGCGATGCTTAACAGTGATACGTTTTAGACGTAGTGTTAGGATCTTCAAGCTTCAGCTATAATGAGGACCGGGGGCGGGGGTGGGTGCTTGCCAGGAGTATGTGACCTCTGGAGCGTGGCTTGTCGCAGTTTTATTTCCTGCTCAAGTGAGATCGGAGGGGGTTGGATCGAGCACAAAGCGGCGAATGTGGAGGGGTGAATAAAATTTCACTACCACCGTGACCCCCCCCCCGCGCGCCCTCCACAAACAACCTGGCAATCTGTGTCGGCCACGGTAGCGAGAAGACCTCGAGTACGAATTCACAGTCGTAACGTCTCAACACTCCCAGCACACAGTACGACCGAGAGCCATCTGCACAGCACAAACCGTAGAAAGACCTATGCCAGAGAGCTGTACGTGTACGTGTGTTGTACTTCTTTCGCACCGTACGTAGCCAACCGTGCTAATCGGGAGCAGCACACACGTAGAGAGACCAACGCAGTCGAATGCGAGGCCCCTCACTGATCGCCTTCCAAACGGGTGTGCGCCGCTCTGTGAACGATTCCAGAACTGGCTGTCTTTCAAAGAGGCGTCGACTGGCTCAGACATTGACGCTTATCAAGATGAGTCCATTGTGACGCCAGGTTCTTGGTCAAATTAGTTGATTAATTATCCATCCACCGAGTAGCACGGTTGGCTACGTACGGTGCGAAAGAAGCTCAACATACATATATACATGCATCATGATTTAAGCGGTATTAATAGTGTGTATGTTAATAATAATAATAATGCATTCTGTAGTCAATTTCATCTGATACTTTCCTGTGTAAGATCGAAAACATGAACTTAGTTGTTTTTACGAGTTAAATAATCAAATTCACGCACTCTCTGCAGCTAATGAGAAAACCCATCAGCCTGTTAAAAACCTGTGCGCAGACTGGAAACAATTGGAATAATAATAGTATATTGATCGCAAGGTGCTTTAAAGAGAAAACGCACAATGCCTGTGACAGTCACCAAGCTCAAAAGGAGAGGAAAAGCTGACATTCTTTTTGTATTCGACAGCAGTAGAGACAACAGCCCCCACTCTCGCTTCATTATAGATAACAGGCATACCAAGATTTGCCATCATTAGACATCAGCAAGACAGTTGGCCATCGTTGCCCACTACTGCCGTGAGTTACATGATGCCGAATCGACACCACATGTCGAATGTCAACAAGGCGCAGCAGAGTCCTATTTGGAAATGTACAGGCCCTCGATGGGCAGAGCCTGCAGTGTTAACTCGTGTGCCCTTGTTTAGAGAGCACCTATCTCCTGGCTCTCTTCCACATTTTCGCTCTTCTCCGCGTGCTCTCTCTCTCTCTGCATGACGATAATGTCAGGGGACTTGCGGTCAAGGCCACGTACATCGTACATGGAAAAAAAAAATAAGCTACAATATTTTAATCGCACCGCCCCATGACAGAAATAGCAATGGGAAACAGATGAGGGACGAGCACGTGTAACAAAAAAAATATATGTTGAAACGTAGGGTGTGATTTATTTGTATGTGTTGTCAGTAATTATAACAATACTTTAGTAATTGACGATCTCTTTGTCATTTCACTGGTCGATTGAGAACACCACTGGCACAGCTGCTCATGGGGGTTGTTTGGCTATACTTCACTTTTCCCGTCAGTGCGGGTTGGTTGATGTTGATGGGTGCTGGGATCGGTTTAGGTATTATTCGACGCTGATGTTAGCCGTGTCTGGATGACACGGCCACTCGATGCTCTACTGCTTCCCTGGTTTTTGAACCTAGAGAATTACGCGTAAAGTTTGCAAAAACATTTCTGGAGGCAATTGTTGTCATTGATTTTTGTTTTTAACAACATACCTATGTGTATTAACCGACGATTACTTATTTAAAATCATCTGATGCTTTCAGAACACCCACGTGCAAAATTGACTCGTGACGAGAATTGTATAAAAGGCACACCTTAGAAGTTGATCGGCGTATTTCCAAAATGTGGTATCGGCTTGGGGAGTCCTTCAACCAGCGGTGAATTAACGATGGCTGACGATTATAGTTTAATCCTACCCTTGACCAAAACTCCTGTCCCCATCTCTACCCCCATGAAACAGCCATTAATCACCCTGTCGCTACTCCAGCCCCTAGCCCTCACACCTACCTGACAAGGGACAGGAGGGCAGTAGCCCAGCAATGGATTATTGAATCTGTTTGTGCGGAGCTTTTGAGTGAATCACCCCCTGGTATGCGTGATTGGATCTTCTCCGGGTACTTTGCTTTTCTTCCACACGAAGCCAAAATACTCATCAGTGGAATGAGCCAAACATCCCCACTGTAGCAGCATCCTTCTTGAAAAGATAGCCTTGAGACTCCGCGAGGCTCATCTGCATAAACAGAGCAAATTTGTGTGTTCTTCGTAACCACCGCGCCAACGCTGCACCTCCTTCCCCGAATAGAAGAATCACTTCTATAGCCATGGCTATAACCAACCCTCTCCCCTACCCAACCCTGTGTGACCAGCGTGTTCTTCATGCGGCAATCGGTAGATGTCTCAAAAGGCTCCCATATCAAAACAAATGACAGAGCCTCTCGGAGTTCAGGTGGCATTAGGGGTGTAAAACTCGTTCTCGATCCACGATTTGATTAAATAATTTGTTCCATCGTCTCGTTTTAGTTTAGCCGTCGCATTTGCATTTTTCCCCGGCTTTTTGTGTCTCGTTCGTCCAGGTTTTTGTGGTTGTGATTGATGCGGCAGCCTAAACGTTAAACGATCTATTTCCATTTGCTGACAATGCACCTTAACGGGGAACAGAACGAGAAACAATACAAACACAAAAGACGCTGTAAAAAAAAACGAGACGTAAAATGACCCAGGGGTAAATCGACGAAACGGCGTCGTCATTTTACGCACTCGTCGTATTTGAAGAGGGCATCTTGTTGACGTACTACGGGACCGTAAGAAACTCTGTGGACGAGATTTGAAAGCAAGATGTAAGTAGGGCAGAGTTAGTTTTACCGGTTATGCTTCTAGCCGCACCGAGCGTAAGCTCCGACATGCCAGTGCTGTCACGCGCACACTGACGGCTTGTGCGCAATGTCAGTGCAGTACATAGAGAGTACTGTGTTTCTAGACTGTATACGCGCAGTCTATCTTTCACTCCTCCGCTTTTTGCCTGAGCTCTGTGTGTGTGATTGTGTCGATGCGTTTGTGTGCGTGCGCGCGTGTGTCTGCGTGAGAGGGGAGCGGTGGTATAGCGGTTCGCGCTACGGCTGCGCTACGAACCTGGCGTCCCGAGTTCGATTCCCGCTCACGGCTACCAACACCAGTGAGGATTATCAGAACCGTTCCTGGGCCTCCCCTAGGTCGACTCAGCCTCAAACAAGTACCGAGTGCGATGTGTAAACATCGCCACTGGGGGGACAAAGGCGGCCGGGCGTGGTGCTGGCCACCCACCCCTTCGTGTGCCGTGCCGGACTTTCATAGGTGCTACTCGCTAACAGCACTTTCCCCAACAGTCTTTTGTGTGAGAGTCGACATGAAGTGTGTGTACGAGTAGTGTGTACTGTGTATATGTGTGTGTGTGTGTTTGTGAGACGGTGTCTGGATTACTGTGCTGTGGGGGAGCGGTAAGTGCCGCGGTTAGCGCCCAGCGTCTACGGACCCGGTCCCCCCGAGTTCGATTCCCACTAACGGCCAACAAAGCCTCAAATGAGTACCTGGTGCGGTGTGTAAACATCGCCACTGGGGAGACAAAGGCGGCCGGGCGTGGTGCTGGCCACCCACCCCCTCGTGTGCCTTTTATAAGTGCTCGCTAACAATAATAGAGTATTTGAATTGTATAAGGGTATCTGTGTGTGTTTGTGCGTGTGTCTCTTGTGCAACGTGTCCCCTACCGTCACCAAGATAGAGATCCCCCGTGTAGCCTTCAGCAGACTGTGGGGGCAAGTGCTGTTAGAGAGCACCTATTAATGTCCAGCCACGTGCTACGAATGCGGCCGTAGCGGCATCGGTGGCGAGCGATGTCTGAAGCGGTTCTGAGCCTCTCCTAGGTAGACTCGGCCTTAAACGGATACCCGGTGCGGCGTGTAAACACGAGCACGTAAGTGCCCGTGTAGGTCTGCGCAAAGTCTATCGGTTTTCGGGTGTGGGTGGGGGATAATGGGATAAGAATGAGTCTTGGGATTTGACTCGAACCGTTATTAGCAGTCCGGTATGTGTGCAAAAACAAAGCACTGTGCCGTGTCTGTAAGTAATAAAGGGGGTTAGAGGACCCAAGAACATCTAAAGTCCAAACATTCATCCTCGCCTTCGCAATTTTCACGCCTATCCCTTTGCAGATTGGGCATTTCCTTCAGGAAACGGCTGATGTTCCTGAGCGCATAACTCAGTCTTTCACGACATTTGCCCGGCCTCAAACGAGAAACATTAACCGCGGTGTCCAAAGGTGATGTAACTCACAATCATGATAATAATGCCCTTCATCTAATGTCCATTGAGTCTCAAGACTATATTTCAAGAGGGGTAGGCGCTACATTGATTGGCCAGTTCCATTCTTGTAAGGAAAACCGGATTCCAAAAGATGCCCACGGCCATATAAGGGAATAATACTCAAAGCTCCATGGAGATAGGTTCAAGACTCTATGGCTACACTGGCATCCCCTGGCTACATTTCTAACCCAAGCCTACAACATTGTGGTATTCGCAAGTAGTCAATGAGTCAAGTACTTTAAACAGGCTCTGACCCGCTTAGCTTCCGAGAGGTCAAGGCTCGCGTTAAGGGAGGTTTGGTTTCGTAGACCACGACGATGAAGGTAAAAGGTGCAGGCCTGCAAGTACGTGCTCGCTCCACTGCTGGGTATAGCATCTCTACGAGAGGGAGAGTTCTACGGAGCTCCTCTGGAGGGTAATTTGTCCTTCTTCGCCAACCAGACGTTTTAGAAGAGGAATAAGTACCCACATTTTACCCCCATCATATGCTGGGTAAACAACGGCGGGTGGTGGTGATTTATATGTATGTTGAACTTCTTTCGCACCGTACATAACCCACCGTGCTAATTGGTTGTCTACGTACGGTGCAGGAGAGATCGAATCTCTGGATTGCAAGTCCAGTGCGATGACCGCTCTAATCGCGTCCTTCTCTCCTGTGCGCAGTCGGTAGAGGCGTCAGCGGTCGTGCCGGGAGCTCCCGTGGGATGCGCTGACTCGATGCCGCCCAAGATGTCTGTGTTGGGGCCGGGTTCGCTGCTGCTGGGAGCGATGCTGGCCCTGGTCGTGTTCGCGCGCCCGTCCCCCGTGGAGCAGAGGGGGCCCACGGACGCCAGCACCGACCGGCCGGACGGTGAGGGCGGGAGACGCGCGCATGGGGCGGGAGACGGGCGGAGATAGTGCGTGTGAGATGGACCGACGGGTGGAATTGGGGAGCACGTGATGTGTGCATTTTTTTTTTTAACACAGTTGCCGATCACAGGCTCAAAGGCCCAATTTTTTTTTTTTACCAGGTAAGTCCCACTGAGCTATATGTGTCTTTTTTAGAAGCGACCTTCTCACAAATGATATCTCAACGATAGTGGCTTATCACCTGGTAATTGAAAGCGGCCAAATACTCTAAACGCATCTTTATAAATGTGGTGGGAAAAACCGGAGGTTCCGGAGAAAAAAATGGACGCGACCACAGGGAGAGCATGTACACTCCAAATATACAGGCGTCGGGGTCGGGATCGAATCCACGACCTCCTGCATACCAGGCGAGGTAGTTGACAGACTGCATGGTAGAATACTGTGAGAAACTCTGTCTCTCTTGTACAGCTGAGAAGCCACCGAGCAAAGAGCCGTTCAAAACAGCGTGTTGTCCGTGCAGTTCATCTGAAAGCGTGAAAACACAACTGCACACGCTCGGTGCTATGATGAGCGAATAATACTCCGTGTACCTATGGACTGTACATATAAAGCATGTGTTGTTTTGTAAAACTTCGCAAAGACAACTCCAACAAGCGACAATTTACTGCAGACTCAGAGACTCGGGGAATTGCTGCACAATATCTATTGGGTTACTTTTCATATTATTATTGTTATTGTTACTACTACGCTTGTTTAGCCAGGAACGCCTCGCCGAGTTTCAATCCTCTACTTTAGGAGCATCTTGGCAACTTTTTGCAGTCGTGGCTGACGGTGGCCTGCTCTACTTCGAATTGTGTCGCAGGATCTTTTAACGTCTGCTTTGAAGGAAACGGCACGTGTATATAAATATCGTGGCTAACGCATCCGCAGTATTAACCAGGGGCAGCCTGCCGGATTTTAACCGCAAACCTCTGCGAGAAGTGGCGAACGCACTCCCGCTGGGGCCCGTGTCACCTCCGCAGCTTTGATTTAAAAAAGGGCGCCAAGAAGTTTTTTTTTTATATATATAATGTACCACTTTGACACCATCATATTTATATTCTTGGTTCTTTCGGTAAAGTCACGTAGAAGGGAAACAATAAAATGTAAAAAAATATAAAACAATAAATTCTCACGACGTTTCGACTGCAACACAAGCAATCATCATCAGGTGTGAAAACCACAGCAAGAAAAATTTGAAAAAAGTGGCGGTTTTTTTTCTTCAAATTTTTTCTTGCTGTGGTTTTCACACCTGATGATGATTGCTTGTGTTGCAGTCGAAACGTCGTGAGAATTGTATTGTTTTATATTTTTTTACATTTTATTGTTTCCCTTCTACGTGACTTTACCGAAAGAACCAAGAATATGAATCCCTGCAGTCACGAAAGCTTTAAATAAAAACCATCATATATGCTTAAAAGTACTAGGTAAGAATAACACCCGCAAATTTGAAAGTGTCTCAGGACATGCAAAACTCTCGTAAAACTGCAATTCATTTAATCGCAGTCGACAAATGAACGTTTTATTTCCCTCCTAAAAAGTTGCACATGGCACTGTTTTAACAAAAAGCTGATTTTTTCCCCCCTCCTCCACACTCCTCTTTGCCCCCATTGTCGCTTCAATTTTCTGGCGTGTGTGGTCACTCTCTTGAGAAGCGGATGGGCCCATCTTGCGCTTACTCTTTGGCCGCGGCCGCCTATAAAGCCGCCGTATAAAGCGTATCGGCTTTAAAGCTCTAAGCGTGGCATTGTGCGCGCTGCTTCCGGTGGGGAGATCACCCGACGGATTAAGCCATAGACTGCACATCGCTCGAGTATCCTTGGAGACCGGCAAAGCACATTTGCAAGAAACTTTACCAACTTGAAAAAATAAATAGAGAGATGGTACGTTTTTTAAACGAAGTTATAATTTTTCAGCATGGTGGCAGATATTTTGATACGCGAACGGGTTAAGCTGGAGGTGTTCCCAGAAGTTTCAATTGCACGATGTTCAGCTTCCGCTGAGATCTCATGCAGGCAAGTGGTGTGGGCTTTTTTTAATCACAGTGGCTGCAAAGCAAAACAGCCAGCAACTTTACAATATGATTGGCGGTCCAGCATGAATGTTGGCAGAATGGAAACGGTTTCTCTCCGATGCGTTTTCTTCTTGGCTTGTACCGCGTGTTGTTCGGCATGATGTCCGACGTTCCGCTCCACTTGCCGGGAGCTTCTTCGGGTGCTGATTTTGGAACATGCCGAACGACACGCGGTACATACCCTAAAAAACCACATCGTGGAGCTGTGCAGCACAGTGTCATAACCGTACACGGCCAGCACGACGAAATGGTGTTCAGCAGGCGGCCGCGTTGTTGGCGAGCCCCTGAACTGGCCTTCGCATCCGCCTCTTACGCACATGAAATATGGCGCGTGGGTGCACGTGTGTGCGGACGTGCGTGCCATAGCCGCTCGCCGTTTGTGCGCGTGCGTGCGTTCCTGCAAGCGCATTAATACAGGTATTCACATCCAAGTCTGTGCCCCATGTGTGAAATGGTCGAGAGTAAACACGGCTTCCTGGCACGGTCCTGATTGATCGCACCCGGCAGGGAACTATTTATTTTGTGTGTTGGTCTCTCTTTCTGCTGCTGCTTTGTACCTCAACAAGTCTCGATTTTAGGGGCAAAAAAAAGAATAATCTTCCTTGCGCTCTTGTTTATTTTTCCGACCCTACGCGTTTCAGACTTTACGAAACTTAAATTGACATACGTACACTATTTCTGGGGCTTGCCGAAGAGTTGAAGGATTTTATTTTTCGTCTCCGGGTTGGCTGTCTAGCCGAGGAAAGTTGGGTCGTTTTTGTGATGTTGTTGCTTTTATCTCAACACAAGTGCGAAGGTGCGAAGGTGCAACTTGCGAAAGTGCGTGTGAGCGAGCGCTGAGGGCCTCGTGCGAGCGTGAAGGGCCGCGTAGAGGGCCTGCGCATATGGGGACGATGCTCGTTTTCCTGCTGGCCCACAGGATGTTAATTAATCACAGCTGTAAAATAATTCGCAAAAGGCAAGTAACCTTCATGCATTAAAGAGTTTGGCACCCGACGTGCTGGTAATGTGCATTAGCGATCTGCCGCGGAGCAGACTGATTTATATCTGCAGTTAATTTAATAAGACTCGAAAAAAATAATCTGATTATTTTAATCATGCCCTGCAAAAATACGTGCTTATTTATTTGTTCGTGAGACATACTGTACATGTGCATATATGGTGAATTCGTTCAGTTTTTTCCCCGTTTACAGTATATGTACACATACAGGTATTTACGCGGAAAGTTTCATGCACGTACGTGGTCAGCTCTTTATTCAGGGGGTGACAGAGTGTAACACGGAGGCTGATAGTCTTAATATTCGCAGCATGAGCATCAATTGGGTTGTTGTAGCTTGTGCATTAACTTACGCAGCTAGTTAGCGCGATACACAATGCCACCCATCTCACCGCTGCGTCTAATTCTCTTGCAGCTCGCTTGCAATTTCATTGCCATGGAATCGCCCATTTTCGTATTTTATGCCCACATTTTTGAACCGGTAGTTTATGCCCTACACGCGCACGTGGAATATATGTGCGAATTTTTATTTCCATTTTCAAACAACAACGGCAACAACCCCGGATTGCAAGTTGCGTTGGATAAGCATAAACCGCCGACTTTCGCGGACGGCTGCTGGTCCAAAACTTCCGCCCGCCGCTATCTGTACGGACATCTGTCTCTTCTCAGGGCTGCTCCATTGGAGAGTGGATTTTGTGCAGTGGCTCGAGGGGTGAGTGGGGGAGGGGAGGGAGGAGGAGGAGGTTGGGGGGGGGTGTCGATTAGAGGTTAGGGGTTAGAGGGTAGGATCGCTAAAGGGGATGGAATTTTGGCATGCGACCTGCTTAAACTGTGACACCTATGATCCAATGGGACACCTCAGCCACTGCTGCAGTGCTCGCTGCTCACGGATATTGGAAGTGCACATATTTGCTGCTCTGCCACGTTTTAGGGTTTAAAACCCTGTAACCTCTTCAGGATCAAGGCTGCAATCGTGCAACCGCCGTCGCAGTTAGGTTACAATATACATCAAGGCAATTGTAGGCGCATGTATTGCCAATGCATTCCTTTTGGCAATGGAAATATATGTTTAAAAGTGTGTTCTACTTTGTATTTTATTATGTTGGCATGGTCGTGCACCGCTAACACTCGCGCCTCGCAACAAGAAGGGTTTGAACCCTGACGTGGGTGTCTTTCTGGGTGGAGTTGGAACGTTCTCACCCTGCTCCGCATAGGCTCCCTCTGGGTTTTCTGGTTTCGTCCCAAAGCTTAACAAAAAAATCAAGCCGAACCGGTATTGACCAAAACATCCCAATGTAGAAAAATTACCTGCAAATGATCCAATTGAAAACGAGTAATGGGACTTATCTTGGTAAACAAGTATAATAATAATAATTAAAAGCATGTTTTTTGTTATAAAGTCATCTTTGTGCCATCAAAAAAATACGTTTGATTCGAAGCTTTCGTGACTGCAAGAATTACTCTTTGTTTTTTTTTCGGTAAAGACTATGCGTTAATTGTGTTTTGACAGACCGTCTGTGTTGCTTTATATGGTTTCCAACTTTTGCTAAACCCTGATTGTTTGGTATGCTTCTCTCTTTGTTGTACCCTGTTGTATCTGTGTTAGTTCCCCCCTACTTGGGTGTCTGTATATACATCTGGGGTTATGTGTTTCCTCTCTCTCGTAAATTTAGCTCTTCTGTACCTGATGATGGCTGCTTGTGTTGCAACCGAAACGTCGTACGCTATTGTTATTTTATTATTTTTTTTATTTATACGTGACTTTACCGAAAAAAACAAAGAGTAAAAATTACATTACCTAATGTAAACACATGTTGGAGATGTCAAAATTATATTTAAAAAAACACAAGTGAGCTCATGCAGGATGAATCGCAAGTGGGGGATGATGGCC